AGCTTCTCTAGGCCTACCTATATTGTTCGATATTCCCTAATAATTATTTCTTCACCCGATCTTAACTTTCTCCTCAAACAAGTAGTTGTATTTGTCTCCCAAAAACATTTGTTTTAAATATATGAGAAAACTTTTAGTATATTTGATTGGATAGGAAGTCAGAATTCCTGTGACGCCACTAACGTCCTTTGGCAAGACATTAATCTACATTTACCCCCGGTAAAAGAGACGGAAAAGGGAAAAAAGAAGTCGAGGAGTGAGTCAGTGAGGGCCTTTATACAAATAATTAATTCACACTCTTAAAAAAAGCTCAATCCAGGAGCGCCATGTCGGTCCACCGCGGTTCTGCTCGGTGATAGATTTCGTGATCGTGAGAAGAAGGTCCGCTAGCATTTACATGACAGAATATTTCCTGGATCTTTCGTCTGTTGAGAGCCAGAAGAGCATTAAATGAAACCTGACACCAAGAAATAACTTTAATTATTTTGAGAGATTTATTATAGTCTTGCCCATTCAGATTCCCTACCAATAAAGCAAGAATAATGAACAGTTTCCCAGCACGACATGTGCTTTGCCATTTTTCTTGGACGTAGTATGTGAAGGCGTTTTATCAAGTAAATGTCTTCGTATTTATGGATGCTTCCTTCCAAGGTGTGTAGCCTATAATCTAGGCGGAGTGCCGAGCTTTTTTCTTTGCTGCTAGACTAACCCTAAGCAGAACGTCTGATACGGCGAGACTACGAACCGTGAGCCGTATCAGACGTTCTGCTTAAGGTTAGTCTAGCAGCAAAGAAACACTCTCGGCACTCCGCCTAGATTATAGGCTAAGGTGTGTGTGGTGATGAAGCATTTCATTTACCTGCTTTTATCCTTTCTACTACGATTGCCAGAACGTAAATTGCATATAGAAGTTGGTGCTCTTCTGAGGTGAAGGCTTATCATAACACAAGATTTTTCAACTGTTATATTTTAGTATTTTAAAATGAATTAGTTACAGTTATTCCCTTGTTATATATTTTCCACCAAATATAATTTCTACTTCTCAGCTGTGATTTTTTCTCATTGAAAAGTAAAGGTTTTGTTATTGATTCAGAATTTCTTTGTGCATGATAAATGTACAACTTCAACTGGTACGTCGCATTTTCAAAAAAATGGCTGCGCCCATGTCATGCTAAAAGGCATCATATCATGCCAAAGATATCTTTGTTTATATATCTCTTGTACACTTTCGTAAAGAATATTGTACATCAAATGGCAGGAATACATTTCATTAATCAGAATACCTACACTAATTTTTCTTTGGGATGAGGTTTCATTTAACACTTTGTTAAAGCATAGATCGTTAATACCATTCCGATTCCAAATATACGCTTTGTTGTTTTTGTTTTTGTTAGATTGTATGTTGCCTTGTCATCACTATTATCACCGATATCACAGAAGTATTAATATTCAACAAGTTAAGTATTCTCGCACCCCAACCCCCTCCCTCTCTCTCCACCGTACCTCTCTCTCTTTCTCTCTCTGGCATACACAAACACGCGCGCACACGCACACACACATTCGCTCTCTCCCTCTTTTTTCTCTTTCCCTCCACCTATCTCCATTCTCTGTTTTAACTCTATAACTTTCTCCAATCTCTTTCATCCTCTAGAGACAAGAGCCTTACTAAGACCCCCCCCCCCCAGTTTTGGCCCATTAGTTAGGCCATGGACTACAAATCCTGGCTTAGACTATGGTTAGTAGGAGAAAAGGATTGTCGGCCCGCAGAGCCCCCTTCCCGAACAGACCCCAAGTTGGATAAAATATGTTACCTTCAGTTTAGCCCATGCAACAAACTTAGTCCAAAACAAAAACAAAGCACTATCACTGTACACGTTTAACGGTCAGACGCCCCTAAAATTGAGTTTATTTTTTTTGCATTGATAGAGCATTGACCAAATTTTGTCCGAAGGAAGAGTTATGTCTATGGTATATTACAAAACTAACAAACAACTCCCATGGTTATTGAGAGAGTGTCAGAACCCAAGTAAGATGGCCAACCGTTTTATTATATTGTATGAAATAAATGAATATGTGTTACCTAGAGACAGTTTTAAACAGCACTAAATAATTACACTACGCGAATTTGAGATATAAAGTGAATAAAGCACTTCTGAGTTGTTGAGAAAAGCATTAAATACTTTTTCTTTACTTTCAGAACAGATAAGGGGAACGTTTTGGTAAGGGGGACTTCGATATTTTTCCGTTTCCAAGATCTAAAAAAACGTTGTGGAATGTACTAGTACTTGTGGAGTGATTGTACCACCGTAACAATGTTTGTGTTTGTAATACACGTTGAAACTTTATTTCGACAACATCTGGTGCATACAATTTAATTCAGGACAGAATCATAAGACAAATCGTGAGTCTATAAATGTGAGTTTAAATCATAAATCCTTTATTTTGATATATATTTTTTTGTCTTCAAGCACGATAATCGTACGTCCATTTGAAAAACACAATATAGGCATCGTGTAACAATCATAAATGTAAATCACATGTCACTTATCAGTGTCATGATTGCGCCCTTACATAGTTACTGCTAGTGCTCTTTTAAATTCAACTCAATCTTAAGTGATATTTCATATATCCAGAAAATGAATCAAACCACATCACTACAAAGGACCTACACAAGGAAGAATGAGAACCTAAAACAGTATTCAAATGACAAGGGTTCCTCTGATCTATATCTTTATAACACGAGTAATTTGACTTGATATAAAACCATTTGACAGAGCAGTCAAACGAAATGTTATGGATCACATAATATTGTTTACACATACAAAGTTATTAAAAACACACATCATTTTGAAAACCGAGAATTCAGAGTCTTCAAAAATACCATACATGAAAACAGTATACTCCAAAATAATTGTATGCAATTTGATTTTGATAGAGACGTGACAGTAATAACAGTATAACAGTTATACATTTGATTATTTATTTATAACAGTTATACATGTATTGTTTTTTTGAACGATATTTGAGCGCAAGGGGACACTCCGTCATGTGCACTTTAGTCAAGTAAGTCAAGAATATTAATATTTTAGTTTTTAATTGGCTTAATTAAAGGGCCCAATGTCCCGAGGAATATACAATCTTATGAAATACATAAAAATGAAAAATATAAATTGTAATATAAAGATACTTAACATCGAAAATATGAAGAAAGATTATAATATTTTCAACGGCTAAACAAAAGATAGACAAGCAGGCGACTAAATTTACAGAGACTAACAGCTGTAACACAATGGCCATGAATATTTGGTGCATGCATATTGCATGCACTCCAATGCATGGACATTAATGTTTCAGCTGTACGAGCAAATTCATCAACTGCCGAACAGTCCTAATACTTCTCTTATATATATACCGTAGCAAATATAAGCTTTAAAAAGTATGGTTAGTTGTTTTTGATATTTCAAAGAAGAATAATCCACTTTACGAGTGTCCGTAGACATTCGACTTTTACTTCTGAATTAAATCAACTCTTATACTTTATTAAAGATAGTTTTATAATGGTGTGGTTGCTGAAAGCCCAGCCTCGTAGACAAATATTCGATCTTTTTGTTCTTTAACAGGTCTGTGGCAGTGTTATCAATAACATGAATATTCACAAGTATCTTATCTACGTAATCATAATATAGGCCTACAACCGAAAACAAGAGGTGATTCCCCATTAGTATGTCCCTGTAGCTCACCACTCACGTAAGTGTCTGCATCATGAGTTCATATCCAAAGTTCATATCCAGAGTTCAATTCTTTGTTTACTTAAATGACAAAACGCGATAATTTTAACGCCATGAATATTGCTTTAACGATTTCTCTGCAAGGGTGATGAGCCCCTGAATGTTCCAAGCAGATATAATTCTGATTTCATTTTATTTCAAGGAAAAAAAAGTGCGCTGATGGTCTTATCGCAACTTTCTCTAAAGGCATTTATACGCGATAGTCTTTTCCGCATCGCTTCTGCCTGTACACTGACACACGAGAACCAGAAACCGTGTCCGATTTATTTTCATTTTTATTTTTTTAAAGATGATTTGTTTAATAGAAACGTTTAATTAATTGTTAAATTGATACGCCTGGAGGAAGGAAGAAGGGACCGGGGGGCTGTAAGAGTGGATGGGAGAGAAAGAGAAGGAAAGAACAAAATGAAGAAATATAGGGGTCTAGGAGAAGATAGAGAAAAAGAGGGGAGGAAATACAGAGGAGGCGATAAGAAAGAGAGTGAGAGAAAGAGAGAGAGAGAGAGAGAGGAGAGAGAGGAGATAGAGAGGAGAGAGAGAGAGAGAGAGAGGGGATAAGAGGTGAGAAAGAGGAGAGAGAGAGAGAGAGAGAGAGAGGGGGGAGAAAGAGGAGTGAGAAAAAAGAAATACAGACAGACAGACGTGAGACGAAAGAGCGTCCTAGAAGTCCTGAATAAACGAAAGCATATCTGTTATCATGACGTATTCCAAGCCCCTCGTTTCACGATACACCGTAAGCTGGACCTTAATCGTAAATAAACTAAACCGACGTATCAAATTATGCGTGGTCTATTTTACCAATTCGGTTTTCTTTTATAAGTGAGGAGAAAGCATCCTTTTGTTCTTCGCACATTTTAAACTATTTCACATCATCATTTATTTACCGGATATTATTTACATGAAGCTGTGTACAGATATTTATTCGTTATGAAAAAAGTGGACTAAATAACGTCAATATAGTCAAAATAATAAAGATTTAAAACAAGATGTAGATATCTATTCCATATATTCTTCAGGTAACTGATACTGGGTCACACGCTAACGGCGCTTCTACAGTATTTGTATTTACACGAATCTGTGTAAAGATATTATCCATTCAAAAGGAACAATAGACTACAAAAACGTCAAAAGAATAAATATGTAAAACAACAACAACAACAAACAAACAACAGATTTCTATTCCATATTTCGAGATGTAACCGATATTCTGCCATGGCGCCAGAAAAAGCCTATAAATTGAGATGGGTTTTAGGCAGAACTCATCCTGCTAAGGAAACCACTCCTGAGAACACAGAAGATCCACAAACCTCCACCATGAAGACCAACGTTTGGATCCTGATAGCTGTTTTGGCCCTCGCCTGGTATCGTATATTCTTAATTCCATTCTTTATTCAGTTGCTACACACATCTATGCAATATGCACACAGCGCTATATACATATGTTGGACTATTCCAACAAAGAGTGACTTAAAACTAGGAAAACATTGATTTATTTAAAAAACTACATTCCATGTTTTAGTTTTAACGAATATAATCATAGACCCTAATGTTATCTTTTCTGTAGGTCCCAATAAAGAGTTGCATTTCTGTATAGATATTTTTCAATCTCATCAGGAAACAGAAAATAGAATCGGCAAAAAAAAATGATAGCATTGGACATTACATAAGCCTTCTTCCAGAAAGAGAGAAAAGGAAAAGAAAAGACGTACAATGACAAAGCTAGCACTAATATTTAGAGGTGTTGTGGTCCAGTGGATAAGTCTGCAGACTGTGAATCACAAGGTATGGCTTTTGAATCCCTGCGCACCAATAACGTCCTTTGGGCAAGACGTAAATCTATATCCACTACACTCGTCGTAGGTGTAGTAGGTGGGTTCCTTGTAGGATTCATTCCTTGAGTGTACTGAGCGCTACACACAGTTGCCGGGTCTAAAGCAGGGCTCCGTCAGAAGAGCATGGAGACGCAATATCATGTGGAATGCACTTTACAAGACCGGGAACTTGTCATTATTTTAACACTGCTGCCCATGAAGTTGGAATACATTTTCTTACCTCTGTTCATGAAATGATTGTGACAATATTGTTGTATTCTTGATCTATAAAGAAAGGTTATACCCTCTCAGAATGTTCTTGATGAATCTATTGGGAAACAGTGTGTATATTGTGTGTTTATATTATTATTATCCTCATCATAATTATTATTGTTATTTATCATTACTATTATTAGTTATTATTACTATTAGTGTTATTATTGGTATAACTATTACAATTACGATGACTAGTACTACTATGTGTTTTCGAATACCTTGCCAGGGCTAACATGGTAGTAAGCTACTCTTCGGAGTCCGATGATGATGACAACGAACTCACCGATGAAGACCTGTGCGACGAGGGACCACCCATGGACGTCGAAACACACAAGAGCCTGAAATGTTCATGCACAACCAGCTATATAGTCACTTCCCCAGTAAGTTCATAAAACAATATTACAATCAAATTATTTAGAGTTCTAACGGGTAAATTACAGTTTAGCAATTCGATTGCTCTATTCGTCTCTGTGCACGGTCGTCCGTTTGCAACACCTGCAATTTTGCACAAAACAATTGGCACCGATTGACGGAGAGGGTTGATGTGTGCAAGTAAAATGACCACTTTTCAGTCCATTCTTGACAACCCTATTTAACACCGGTATATAATCTATAAATCTTGCACCGGAAGCAGTTCGATGGTCTTGAAGCCGTGGTATACGTCAATCCCATGATAAATACAATGTCGTACAGCGAGATTACAATCATGTATTTGTATGGCATATACAGAGTTAGGGACATGACTGACGTTGAGTTCTGGTTATTCAATTACATTGTGACAGAGACAGTCTCAAAGCGAGGTTGGTGATGTAGTACTTAAAATTTTCGAATATGTCGGAGCTTAGAATCATCAAAATGTTTAGAAATTGAAATTATCTCGCTGAAAAGCACATGTTCTACTCACAAAACAATTTAGTTACATGATTCTTTTGTCATATTCCGATGCAGAATGGGCCTATGTGAGATTTGATGTGAAATCAAACGTCAATTGCTTTTCTCACTCTCATCATTTTGAAATTTGGTCGACATAATTATTGATGATTTTTATCATGTAAATGCAAGCGGAATATTGCAGCGGTCAGAGCACTTGTCGAAAGGCTGTTTCCAGGCCTTGAATATCCACAAAATGATATTGATGATATTCAGCTTTTATATATATATATATATATATATATATATATATATATATTGTCCTTTGACATGGCGCCTCGTTTTTTTATTTGCTCTTCTCCTTTTGTTTCCCCTTTCCGCAGGACCAGCACAGTTATAACAGGCTCTTCAAAAAGATCGACAAATTGAAAGCATGCCGTGACTGCTCCACAATAAAACGAGCATTCACCGATGTTCTCCTCATTGTCTCCGTTGAAACCACAGAAAAGTGTGCTATAAAGGTAACAGCCAAATGTAATCATGATACTCAATACATGCATACGTTAAAACTTATTTTGGAATAAATCTGACAGAATTAAAGTTGGTGTAAAAATGAACAAGAATAACTCTGTACCCCTGTGTAGAACTCACATACAGTCCAAAATGTCATTACATTTTCAAACATGTACTCACTGTGGCTCTCTTTAACCATCTTTTCCTGTTTTAAAGAATTCTCCTCTTTAACAGTTCGCAGAGATTCATTCAGTTAACAAACATCGCTTTCTCTTTCTAGCCTTGTCAATGATTTTAATAAACCTTTTATAAAGTGGGATGGAGGGAGGGAAGGGGGAGGACAAGATATTTGTAACAAATTATAACGTGTAAAACCTTAAAGGCATCGTTTAACAATGTTAAATCTGAGATGCATGGCCCTACGTGTTACCACGTGTCTGTGATATGGTGTAATATTAAAGCCCTAAAAATCGCGCTTCATAATGATCAAGAAATGCCTCAAAAAAGTACAAATCTTTGAGTGACCGGTTTTACCGTACTCGTTTTCCGCAATAGACTGTAGTGTTATGAAAACCGTTCGGCTAACGCAAAATTTGGTTTTGATTTCCAATCATAAATATCTTGATAATCAGACAGACGATCAACTTGTAAAATTCATGGGGTTCCTGACTGACATAAAGGTTTATATTTATCATTGCAGCATGAGATAAATCCAGGATTTTTTTCTAAAATCTGAGACAAAGTTATCGGATCCCTTTAACAAAAATGTTCATCATACTTTCTTATTTCTCGCTGATGGCAACGAGTGGTCGTCAATTTACAAACTCATCTACAGACGAGCAAAAAGGTCATAAATTTCCCCCTTATGCCGCAGCTCTGGATATGCCTACTCTCTAAAAAAAAATCGAGTGATCACGGACGTCACTCCTCTGGAGAGTGAAAATGTAGTGAAAATAGAGTGAACATTCACTTTTTTCTTCTTAGAGAGCACTCTAAAATCAATCGATTTTCACTCCTAAACAAGTGATCACGGACGTCACTCCCAAGAAAGTGAAAATAGAATGAAAATTCACTCTTTTTTTTAAGAGAGTACAGAATTGTTAAGGGGCGGGGATGTCATATCCCCTGCACCCTTTAGCCGTTAATCGTCACCTCGTCGATGAAAGACACGAGAGACATCGACAGTATTATAACGTTAGAGCCTTTTTTTACATTGAACCGACCGTTTCTGATCTGTTTTCTCCCACAGTTAGCTAAGAAAGGTTATCTTGTGGAAGAGAACTCGGTACAAGAAGTCGGCGCTGCTCTGCCTACCCTGCCCGTCAAGCTACTGGACCGAATCGATCAGGTAGATCTTCCCCGTGATGGAGCTTCTTATGACAGAAGTGAGTCAATAACAATAGTTATTATAATGATAATAATAATGATATTAATATCAATTATTATTATAATGTTAATAATAATTATAATAATAATAACAACAATGATATAAAACTAGAAATGCAATCGTGTCACAACGATGTGCGTGCAATGACGCCGTGTTTCTACGTGTCGAACGAAAGAGCTTCTCTCGGACTATCCAGAGCAATTTTTTGTACGTAGTCTTGAGCTTCTGTAATATTGGAGACAGGTAGGGCGAAAGAAAGGCCTCAATAGTGACCTTGATGGGATGGTAGTGACTATGCCTACGAAGTTTGAAAGAAATTGGGATAGGGGAAAGAACCTAGAAAGGGCTCGCAAGCACTGCGTGCAAAAACCAATGGGATTAGTTGCATGTTCGTCATTGCAATCAAGATCGTTCTAGGGGTCAAAAGCGTGAACCCGATTTGCGCCATAGACAATGCGTGTAATGCATGGGCGGAAAACGTACAGGATCTGTATTCTGACCGGAGTTAAATTGTTTTTTCTCTCTCTCTTTATGTCTCTTTATGGGCCGTATATGGTATCATTGGAAAGAGAATTTCATGGTTGTTATTGTAAACCACTCTCATTTTTCCTATGATAATCCTATCGAAACATGTGATGTAAAATAGATTTAAAGGACAAAATGGCGTCTTAAATGGCCCCCTTGACTAATTTCAAAAATCCGGCCACGAGGTGCCCTGCGTATTGCATCTCGGAATGTCATTGCAAATTCTCAAGGAAAAAAAGGATGCTAAGGGGGCGAAAAGTAGTCTGAAAAAATGACGTCATGGTCGATAAGTGTTATAATCGGGCGGAAACTCGGCGGAATTCGTAAAGTGACCCTTGTTCAAATGCGATTTACTCACCATTTTCTGTGTGAACATATACCATACTTGGTATCATTCGAAAGGGCACTTCATTGCGGTCAGTTTGACACCAATGTCATTTGCGCGCAATGTATTGCACGCATTAAACGCGCTATTACGTAATGCATAGTAAATTCATCATTTTTGGAGATAACTTTGCGCTGACATATTTGAATTTTGCCAAACTTGGCAGACAGTTGTCACGTATATGGATACATATGTCTGCCAAATTTCATTGACGTTGGTACAAAGATCGCCATTTTAGAGCAAGTTGAAGTTATTTTGGAATTTTCTTGAAAATGGCGAATTTTGAGGGCATTTTTCTCAAAGTCGGTCAGTGTTAGGGTATATAATTTTGTATATGGCTGGAAAGGGCATATCCTCAAGTATCTAAATCCAAAAAAGGGTACGGATCTGCTAAGCCATAATGGAGATATGGCCACAGAAAGAAAGCCAATTCCCAGAACTTTAGAGGGCGCTATTTATGTAGTGCAAAACCATTGGAGCGTGAAATTTGGCATGGCTATGTGCAATTATGAGATAAAGATACCGTGTGATTTAAATACAAAACGGAATTTATATGAGAAAGTTATGGCAGTTTTAGATTATGTAGGGGTCAATTTTTCAAGAATTTGAGAGATTGTTGACGTAGACGGTTTCAGATTTGAATTTTGAGTATGAAGATGGCATTTTGAAGGGCAGGTTATGCGTCGCAGATGAAAGGACATCTCTAAGACTATCTAGAGGAATTTGTTAGAAGTTTGTAGGATCTAGGATAGTGGAGATAGTAAGGAAGATAGAAAGGCCTTAAAATGGACCAGAAACGGACAAAATGGCGCCTGGACGTTTACGCATGAGTGATTTCAGAAAACGAAAAAGTAGGTGACCTAGATTGGATATCAGAGATTACGCCTACGAAGTTTGAAAGGAATCGAGCAAGAGTAAAGGATCTAGATAGGGTCCACAAGCACTACGTGCAAAACGAATGGGATTTCGGACGCTAGGAAGAAGTAAGAATATTAACTAGAAATGCAATCGTGTCACAACGATGTGCGTGCAATGACGCCATGTTTCTACGTGTCAAACGAAAGAGCTTCTCTCGGACTATCCAGAGCAATTTGTTCGAAGTCTGTAGCTTCTGTGATATTGGAGATAGGTAGGGCGAAAGAAAGGCCTCAAGAGTGACCTTGATGGCATGGTAATGACTACGCCTACGAAGTTTGTAAGAAATTGGGATAGGGGAAAAAACCTAGAAAGAGTTACTAAACACTGCGTGCAAAAACCAAGGGGATTTAATTGGTGCATGTTCGTCATTGCAATAAACATCGTTCTGGGGGCCAAAAGCGTGAACCCGATATGCCCCATAGACAATGCGTGTAATGAATGGGCGGAAAACGTACAGGATCTGTATTATGACCGGAGTTAAATTGTTTTTTCTCTCTCTCTTAATGTCTCTTTATAGGCCGTATTTGGTATCATTAGAAAGAGAATTTTATGGTTGTTATTGTAAACTACTCTCTTTTTATCTATGATAATCCTATCAAAACATGTGATGTAAAATAGATTTATAGAACAAAATGGCGTCTTGAATGGCCCCCATGACCAATTTCAAAAATCCGGCCAAGAGGTGCCCTGCGTATTGGAACTCGGCATGCCACTGCAAATTTTCAAGGAAAAAAAAGGACATTTAGGGGGCGAAAAGCAGTCTGAAAAAAAGACGTCTTAGCCGATACGTGTTAGATTCGGGCGGAATTCGTGTAGTGACCTTTGTTAAAATGCGATTTACTCACAATTTTCTGTGTGAACATATACTGTACTTGGTATCATGCGAAAGGGCACTTCATTGCGGTCAGTTTGACACTATTGTTATCTCCGCCAAATGTATTGCACGCATTTAACGCGCTATAACGTATTGCATAGTAAATTCATCATTTTTGGCGATAACTTTGCGACGAGGGCATTACAACTTATTAAACTTGACAGACAGTTGTCACGTATATGGATACATATGTGTGCCAAGTTTCATTGATGTAGGTATAAAGATCGTCATTTTAGAGCAAGTTTGAGTTATTTTGGAATTTTCTTGAAAATGGCGAAATTGGAGGGCATTTTTCTCAAAGTCGGTCAGTGTTAGGATATATAATTTTGTATATGGCTGGAAAGGGCATATCTTCAAGTATCTAAATCCAAAAAAGGGTACGGATTTGCCAAGCCATAATGGAGATACGGCCACAGAAAGAAAGCCAATTACCAGAACTTTAGAGGGCGCTATTTATGTTTTGCATAGCCATTGGAGCGTGAAATTTGGCATGGCTATGTGCAATTATGAGATAAAGATACTGTGAGATTTAAATACAAAACAGAATTCATATGAGAAAGTTATGGCAGTTTTAGATTATTTAGGGGTCAATTTTTCAAGAACTTGAGAGATTTTTGACGGAGTCGGTTTCAGATTTCAATTTTGAGTACGAAGATGGCATTTTGAAGGTCAAGTTATACGTCGCAGATAAAAGAACATCTCTTAGACTATCTAGAGGAATTTGTTAGAAGTTTGTAGGATCTAGGATAGTGGAGATGGGAAGGAAGAAAGAAAGGCCTTAAAATGGACCAGAAACGGACAAAATGGCGCCTGGACGGTTATGCATGAGTGATTTCGAAAATCGAAGAAAGTAGTGACCTGGATGAGATGCTAGAGATGATGCCTACGAAATTTGAAAGGAAATGGACATGGGGAAAGCACCTAACTAGGAATAACAAGCACTACGTGCAAAACGAATGCGATTTCCTGACGATACTAAGAAGAATACTAGAAATGCAATCGTGTCACAACGATGTGCGTGCAATGACGCCATGTTTCTACGTGTCAAACGAAAGAGCTTCTCTCGCCCTATCCAGAGCAATTTGTACGAAGTCTGTAGCTTCTGTGATATTGGAGATAGGTAGGGCGAAAGAAAGGCCTCAACAGTGACCTTGATGGGATGGTAGTGACTATGCCTACGAAGTTTGAAAGAAATTGGGATATGGGAAAGGACGTGGAAAGGGCTCGCAAGCACTGCGTGCAAAAACCAAGGGGATTTGGTGCATGTTCGTCATTGCAATAAAGATCGTTCTGGGGGTCAAAAGCGTGAACCCGATATGCCCCATAGACAATGCGTGTAATGCATGAGCGGAAAACGTACAGGATCTGTATTATGACCGGAGTTAAATTGTTTTTTCTCTCTCTCTTTATGTCTCTTTATGAGCCGTATTTGGTATCATTAGAAAGAGAATTTCATGAATGTTATTGTAAACCACTCTCTTTTTTCCCATGATAATCCTATCGAAACACGTGATGTAAAATAGATTTATAGGACAAAATGGCGTCTTAAATAGCCACATTGACCAATTTTAAAAATCCGGCCATGAGGTGCCCTGCGTATTGGAACTCGGCATGTCACTGCAAATTTTCAAGGAAAAAAAAGGACGTTTAAGGGGCGAAAAGCAGTCTGAAAAAATGACGTCATAGCCGATACGTGTTAGATTCGGGCGGAAACTCGGCGGAATTCGTGTAGTGATCTTTGTTCAAATGCGATTTATTCACAATTTTCTGTGTGAACATATACTATACTTGGTATCATTCGAAAGGGCACTTCATTGCGGTCAGTTTGACACCATTGTTATCTTCGCGCAATGTATTGCACGCATTTAACGCGCTATCACGCAATGCATAGTAAATACATCATTTTTTGAGATAACTTTGCACTGACATAATCAAATTTTACCAAACTTTGCGGACAGTTGTCACGTATATAAATACATGTGTGTGCCAAGTTTTATTGACGTAGGTCAAAGGATCGTAATTTTAGAGCAAGTTGAAGTTATTTTGGAATTTTCTTGAAAATGGCGAATTTGGAGGGCAATTTTCTCAAATTTGGTCAGTGATAGGGTATATAATTTTGTATATGGCTGGAAAGGGCATATCTTCAAGTATCTAAATCCAAAAAAGGGTACGGGTTTGCCAAGCCATTATGGAGATACGGCCACAGAGAGAAAGCCAATTCCCAGAACTTTAGAGGGCGCTATTTATGTTGTGCAAAGTCATTGGAGCGTGAAATTTGGCATGGCTATGTGCAATT